GCCGCGGAGATCCGGGACCCCAAGAAGGCGGCGCGGGTGTGGCTGGGCACCTTCGACACGGCGGAGGACGCCGCCATCGCCTACGACGAGGCGGCGCTGCGGTTCAAGGGCACCAAGGCCAAGCTCAACTTCCCGGAGCGCGTGCAGGGCCGAACCGACCTCGGCTTCCTCGTCACCCGCGGCATCCCGGACCGGCACCTGCAGCATCCATCGGCGGCGGTGACCCTGGCAGCAATGCCACCGCCGCCGCACCACCAGGGCCACCAGACCGTCGTGCCGTACCCTGACCTCATGCAGTACGCGCAGCTGCTGCAGAGCGGCGCCCAGGGCGGCGGTGGTGACCACGCCGCCGAGGCGGCTGCGGCTGCGGCAGCGGTCCAGCAGGCGCAGCAGCAGCTCATGATGATGGGCGGCCGGGGCGTCAACCTGCCCTTCTCGTTCTCGCCGTCGTCATCCTCGTCGGCGGCGCAGATACTGGACTTCTCCACGCAGCCGCTCATCCGGCCCGGCGGCCCGCCATCGTCGCCGGCCGCGGCAATGTCGTCGTCGTCGGCCGCTGCGGCTGCGGCGCCGTCCACGCCGTCGTCCACGACCACAGCATCGTCGCCCAGCGGTAGTCATGCATGGCCGTACGGTGGGGAGCACCACAGGAATAAAAAAGACGCGTGATCGACCGAGCTGGATATGCATGAATGCAACTTGCAAACTTGCTTGCAATGCGAAGCGAGAGGATCAGATCAAGTAGCTGTATGGATCGGAGGAATGGAATATGCATGCAATATGGCCGGGCGGGGTAAGTGACAGAGACGATTTTTGGTGCAAACATTATTAGCATTTTCTTGGCCCTTTAATTTCCACGTGGATTTCCTTTTTTTTCTCTCGAAATGATCTTCTTTTGTCGTTCATTTCTTGGAGGATCTTCTTCATCACGTGATTAGAGAACTAGCTAGCTAGCTAGCTGCTAGGAGGAGCTTGCTACCTTCTTCCTTTGTCTAATGGTCTGCTGCTCATATCTTTGATTTGTTCAAGTGTCAACTAATTAATTACTTTAGCTGTGCAAACTAATTAATCCAAAGCAAGAGGAGAGGAATCTTATTGATGCAATATATATGGCATGCTTTTTCTGTCTCTCTCTGCAAATGATTGATTTATTCTTCCTTTGTCCATATATTGGTAGGAATATATATTGCAAGCTCTCGTATGTTCTGTCTTTGTATATTTCGGATTGTACAAAACGAACCACATCATCAATAGATGAACACTAGACGACTTAATTAGCTAGGAACATTGTTTTGAGACACGTACGATATACCAATCAAAATTGTCTAATTTATTTAAGGGGAAAAGGGAATATTCCCAATTAGTAGTTACTTGTTATTAAAGTTTTTTTACTTTTTTCTCATCGAAATCATTCTTTTTTCCTGCTGTTTGCATTGCGAATTTGTTCTCTGTCTGTTTTCAGTTAGTTCCCCCTATATATACCTGATCTATATTCCCTTCTCTGAAGGATGTTCCTTATGCCCTTTTCAAGCCTAATTTACATGTGTCATAGTGTTGTTACCTACCTAATGGAGTACGTATAGCATCTTCCAAACTCCAACCAATGCAATTTATCTAATTAATATGCTGCTTTTCTCTAGCTAGATTCTTTAATATATAATATATAATTAATAGATGTTTGGTGAAGGCATTCCTTTTTATCATGAGATGCCTTGAGAGTATTTATCTGAAAGTAAATCAGCAAGCCAAAAATACATACTGAGTGCGCTGAAGTCATCCATTTCTTTTCCAAATGAATTCTGGAAGGTATTCCAGCTATACATGCATCCTCTAATAAAGCATATATAGTGCGTGCATGCTTGTTCTTGGCCGGTGCCATGAACATGCCTCTAGTCTGCCACGTAGACATTTAGCAAAAGTCAGAAATGTAGCTCTAGTTTAATTTAACTAGTAGTATCTCATAGATATTTAAAAAATGTGTAATTGTGATTTGGTGGCATGTGCCGATCGAGATTTTTGCTAACCTGCCGACATGTGATATATGGTACCAACATATGGAGGAACCTAGCATCATCCCCCCATCCCATGCTTCTAGAAGCATATGGTCAGGTATCGATTAAATGCCAAATTGTTCATACACGACTGTATTTTTAATTTATTGGTATATCAGTACATCTTTCCAAGCATCCAGCTAGCAACAATGAATAAGTGAAGATATATGCATCCATCACATGCATGCATATACAAGTATGGTCTACTTGATTTAATTAACAAGAATCTAGCTAGTATTCTGAATTCATTTAGCATGTTCGCTTGTTGGTTTCAGCCAGGGCCTATCAGCCAGCCAACAGTGTTTTTCTCTCACAACAAATCAGCATCAGCCGGGCTTATTAGCCCAGAAACCAACCAGCGAACAAACTGATCTAGAGATTATGTATTTTTAATTTTTTTATTACTGAACTTTTGGTTCTCCCAAAACTCCTTTTTCCCCCACTAATTATTTGCTTACACATAACCATTTGTCTTGTGTATGTGGTTATCAAGTTGTTAGTTTTTTGTGCAAGGATGGTTATCATGTTGTGGTGACGGGTCATCTTTTGCTTCTTTGCTTTCATGATGGGTACAAGAATCAAAATTTGACACGCACATTTCTTGGCAGACCCCTTTTTTCCTTTGGGCTTGTGGCTTTTGTGCTCTTGCTGTGTGCTACCTGGCAGCAAGCAGCGCGCTTTCGAGTTAGGCATGACTCACGTCTCTTGATATTTCTTCAACTCATCATTTATCGAGCCGGAGAAAATGAAAAAGATAGATGATATATGCGCGCTTGATCAGGAGCAGAAGCCTAGTTTTTAGGCGCACTATAGTGCTCCGTGCTGAGATGGTCTCACATGTGTGCATCGGTCGTACACAAGGGCCAATGGCACCAAACTTGTCTGATCATGTCCTTCATTCGCTCGTACAGAGGATATATAGGTGACACAAGATTGAGCAACACGTCTTGTGTCTGCTGCTAGCTAGCTGCCTAACTAATAACTAACATAAAGACCTTTTGATGCCTAGCTACTCACCTTAGCCTTGACATGCTGTTTCAATATATTTTTTAGGAGTTGTAGGTTTTTCTCAAAGCCAGGAATATATGTGATGATACTGTGGCCATCATAACCCTTTCAAGGGCTTTATTAGCTGATAGTAATATTTTTAGCTTTGTATTGCATGAATACATATATAGGAATACTGTCCATGGATAAGATAATTCTCTCTTGTCCATTATACTTTGCTATCTGATGCTGATGTCAACATCGTTGGCATGCAAGGACCATGGGTGGCAACACCAATTTGCTGTGATAGATGATATATGCTTTGGGACCATATGTTTTAATTAGTTGCATAGATGAAACAACTGTTTGACCTACCATGACACATACTCCTGTGTGTTCACGGGACAAAAAAAAAACATTATTAGAATATGTATCCTTGTATGGTAGACCTTTTTGGTGGGAACATAATTCATGTGAAAACTAAAATGGAACCACATATTTTGGAGGTGTTTGATTTGAGGAGTAATCTCATTAGCAAGATGAGCTGGTAGTTTTCCTCATGAGTTCGTCCCAAAATTTTGGTGGGGCTGCCTCATGTTCATGCTAATTATTATGTGTTATTCAAGCAATAAGTAATGATAGATCAGCATATTTTATTCCTCAACCTAAATAAAATAAATGTAAGAAGCAAGAAAATAACATATGGAGCACGATATTTCTCAAACTAAATGTTTACACCCTGCTAATAAGCTATTGGCTCACGAGAACTCAGCTGGCTGGGTTCCTTATTAATTCCTGTGGTGAAATCTATCCACCCAGATTCAAATCAAGTTTTCGACTTAACGTACATGTTCATATTTTCCTAAATTTATTCTAGCATTACTCTTTTAGTGGTGAGCGGGATAAGGTGTGTATATGCATGTATGAGTATCCGCATCTGTACTATGTACTCCCTGTGTCCTAAAATAAATGCACATTTCGCTTTCCGAGGAGTCAAACTTTTAAGTTTGGCTAGATATATACAAAAATATACTAATATTTATATTGTATAATAAATATCATTAGATAGTGTATGGAATATATTTTCACGATATACTTATTTTCTTTATTTCTAGTGAAATTTAAAATGATTCACTTCTCATAAAGCGAGATATGTGCATTTATTCTAGGACAGTGGGAGTAATTCACGAAAGAAAACAATTGGCTCCTTTGTCCCATGGTTTTCTTTACATATATACTTGATTCTCTCACCTTCTTTTGGCAGAATATGCATATGCACACAATATATGTTACGCAGGAATTTTGTTCACTATGGGAAAAACAGTTTGTAGCAACGAGGCTTTTTTTGAGGGGCGGCTGGCATTGGAGCAGCCCCTACAGTGGCGTACTCGGGCTCCAACACAGTAGCCGCCCCTACAAATGGCACAGTAGGGGCGGCTGGTAATACGAGCCTCCCCTACAAATGCGTCGATTTGTATGGACGGCTGGTATGTAGAGGTGGCTCCACTAATACGCCCCCAATACGCCCTCTGCAGCCACGGATCGAATCCCCCACCTTCTTTGTCTCGATTTCTCTAGGAAAAAGGAAATAGAACTCGCGGCTTAGAAGTCAAAAACGAGAGGCGGGGTCGGTAGATGGCGGTGGTGGCTCCACTCGACGCGCAGGAGCGCCCGCGCCTAGGGTTTGGGTGAAGGACACAACGGCGGTGCTTAGGTCACATGGGCTTGCAGGGTGCTCGTGGTGACTCCCCTGATGCCTCCTCTCCCCTACACGTGTGACTCGCCGACTCCTCCTCTCCTCCCCCTGCGGATCAGGGCAGGGCGCCGGCCGCTAGCCTGGCATTCTAGGCCGCCCGCCGGCCACCAGGCCTCACCCTGAACGGTAGTGGTGAGTGGCCGAGATGTGCTGGCAGCAGTTGTGGGAGGAGCGGCCGTGATCCTGGACCAGATCTGGGCGACACGATGGAGGACGCCGGGCAGGATGGGGCAACTCGTGACACCGGCAAAGGTGCCGCCCAAGGCGAGTTCCGCCTCCTAGCTCCCTTCTCCCGCGCGTGTGCTAGGGTCATGATATGGCACTGACTGACGCTCGTTGTGCATACAGGGACGCTGGCGGGACCAAGAATGGGGAGGGCACAAAAGGTCAGGATGCTTGCTGGAACTGCGGCCGCCACCGCGGCGAGGGTTAAGAAGCCAGAGGTTCTCTCGCAGAGCATCTCCTTCCCCACGCAGGGTGCAGCTGCTGTGCGGACCTACCCAGACCATGAATAGCGCCCATCATCTGGTTGTCTGCAAGAAATCTAAGTAAGAACTTCCCCTTACCAAGACCTAGATTTTGGAGACATTTTTTTGTTTGGATTCTTGGTGGAGAAGGATCAGAGCCTAGGTTTAGGCGTTAAACTTTGTGTTGGATGTTCACTGTGTTTCTGTTTCTCGATCATTAGGTGATAGAAACACTTTTCCTCAAAAAAAAACTCATAATTACAAAGGTGTGGATATCATTGGGACCTAACTGCTGGCAATGATTTTTTGATGGATCTTCATCATATTTCTGTTTCTCAATTATTAGGTAACGGAAACATTTTTTTCTGCAAAAAAAACTCATAATTACAAAGTTGTGGATGTCATTGGGACCTAACTGCCGGCAATTGTATTTCGATGAAAGATGTAGGAGTTATACCTATGTGAATATTATTGTTGTGTTGTTAATGTTCTAAAACTGCAGTTAGACCATTAGTTTAGAGAATATTAAATGGTTTTCCCGTAAAATTTGATAAGTTTAAGGTCGTAGAAATTTATCCAAACTTTCCATCAAAGTATTCTACACTGGGTTGAGAGTTATGCTATGTTAAAGTTGTCTGTCTAAAAATACAGTTCTGATACTGAGTCAAAATTCAAAGATATTTAGGGGACCTTACCTTTGAACTAAAAAATAATCCTATAATTAAAGTTTTGTCATTCACCATGCAGTATTTATATATGAATATTAGTTATATTGTCATTCATGGATTAGTGGCACGTTTATAATTTGGCAACGACTTTTAAGAATTCAAACTGCAGTTCATATATATGACAGAGCTGCCCTTATTCATCTAACATTGGTTCCAGACTCTTTGAGCCATGCTACAGTCTGCTCATGTACTATTTAATTTGTGACGGAATTCCACCTTATTTTGTATTCTGACATTATTCATAAGTAAGCTTCCAAAGTATGCTCATTTTTCTGTCTGATTTTACAGGAGTTTTAGATATAACCTAGCTGAGTTGGATAGTTCTTATCTAAATACTTTCTGGTTACGGGTTCTTGCTCAGTGTACGTGGAGCCATAAGAACAATGATTTGGGATGTTCTCAAGAAGCTAGAGGCCTCCGCGCTGGTGCTCAGCCAGTGCATGCCATCTCCCTGTTGCTGGCTAAGCTAGTAAGGCACTCAGCACCATACCCTTTTGTATCTTGGAAATACGAAGGCCTCATTCCTCAGAGGTCAACTATTGATAATTAAATTGTGATGATATATTATAAAATTAGTGCTTGGAAAGTAATGATATTTTTTGTCAAGGATTCATATTGTTCCATTCTATCATTTGTTTATTATCTTTCCTGTTGTTTTATATATTGGTTAGGGAGTAGTGTAAACTAAAGTGCCAAGATGGATTAGTTAAAATGATATAGGGGCTTTGATGCCTTTTTCTTCTACAGCTCATGGACACTTTGTGTTTTCGGCAACAATGCTATAACTGTCCCGCAAACGAGAAAAGTTATGAGTCCAGTTACTTTGAAGGTGTGCTTACTAACAAGTAAAGTTAATCAGTTAATTATATTTTTGCAAGTGTGCATGAGTTGTCTAGTATGCATGAGCTCATCTCGATTCTCAAGACGTATACATATCGACAATTCTCATTAGCTTATATGTTTGTATACATACTTGTAACGTTCACTTAGATAGAAATTCTCAGTACCAACACCTTGTGCTCTTGTGCTTGTGGTCAGATTTGAATTATATATGTTCTGATCATATTTGAATTATATATATATTATATGTGTGTGTTCTGATCGAATTTGAATTGTAAATATAAATTTTTTGGCGGAAAAATGTATTGTAGGGGTGGTCCTAAATTAAACCGCCTCTACAAACAGGTATTATAGGGGCGACTAGTACTACAGTCGTCTCTACAAATCGATTTGTAGGGCGGTGATAATACCATCCGTCTCTACAAATCGATTTTGTAAGGACGATCTGAAAACGCCCCCTATAAATACATGATTTATAGAGACGATATGGTAGGAGCGGCTGGCTGAGCCGCTCTGTACAAAGCTTCACCAGCCGCCCCCTACCATTCCTGTAGTAGTGGTTCGCCTTCACGATATGCATGCTGCCCTTTTATTTTTCTCCTGTTCCTTTCTTCCCTTTCCATTTCCCTCCTATGCTTCCATGCCGTCTCCATTGAGATAAAAAAAATCATAAGATTAATTGTGGTGGGCGACTCTGCTGTCATTTTCAGAAACATGCACGGGTAAATCCACATTCTCTAGTTTACATGCATTATATACACGTTTTCCAAGATCTTGTGCAACTTGTCCCATGCTTGCTGTTCCTCCGTCATGGACCATTATATTAATCTAGCTATCATATAGCTTGATTAGTAATAAGTATAAATAGCTAGGCTATCTAAAATGATTGTTTATATATATAATAGGTGTGACCGCTAGGGTGCTGACCAAATGCAACTTCGATTATATATATGATAATATACATATATGCATGTTTGTTCAAGTTCTCGGCCGAACTAAAGTGCCCGCGTATATACGGAGTATATCTCTTTTATAGCTAGTGTTTGATACGTCTCTCCAACCATGCATCTTCCGTGCCTCCTCCTGCTGCATGTGCAATATATACGGAACCTACCAAGCTACACGTACGCAGTGCGACAAAACGGCACGCTCCTCTCTCTCTCTCTCTCTCTCTCTCTTGAATGGTATACGTACGTACGTCGTTGTAGTCTGGGGGTACGGTACACCGTACACGGTACGATGACTGCGCACGCCAAACGTGGCCAAGTGTATCATGCATGCATCTGATCTGTGAAGTGGGCGTGGGGGCTGCGGAAGCGTACCGCGCATGCACTGCACTGTTCGTACATCCATGGGCCATTCTCTACGCGCATGCATGCCATGTGGGCCCGGGTGGGCCAACCGGCCTGCCTGCTGGCCCGGGAGCGCATGGCGCATGCAGTGCACAGGGCCTGTCGAGAACGCACTGGACTCCTTCCCTTCCATGTGGGCCCCGGGTGGCACGTGACCTCCACGCGCCTGCGGTCGGAGGGAAACAAAACAACGCCAAAACGTCACGTCCAACGCCCCTCTCGTCACACCAGTCAAATGCACATCATCATACTACACTAGCCACTGCTGCCCGCGCTAGGTGATGTGTTTTGGTATAACAAAAATCTTAAAAAATATGGCTGTATATAAACGATCGTAAATTTTCAAATTTGATATGTTTTTCTCTCACATCAAATCGATAACTAATCCACGATACGTCTGGGCCTCAAAAAGGTTGGCTCATATGTCTAATATGTTTTCTCGTCGCGTTGCTACGAAAGGTTGGTCTGTTTGGTACATTAAATGGGAAAATATGGGAAGGAAAGGTAACATACTTTTTTTCATTACAACATTGTAAACGAACATAGAGATTGGTTGTCATTACATGATGCTTATTCTAGGCCAGCAAATCAATGACATGTTAGTGGAAAGAAGTATTCGATGGAGTTATGCTCAATCAACTAACACACTTAGATTCAAAGCACAACATTGGCTAGGATTACATTATAGGTGGAAAGAGCAAAAACTACAACACAAGTAGGTCTCCCAACACGAGGGTTTACAAAAGAGTGAATTAGGATCCACTCCCCTTAGGCGAAACTACAACACATTTCGTAAATCTGTAATTACACGAAAGATTACACGGCGTCGAACACTAAATTACACCGGAATTTAAAGTTATATGGTTATGAGCAACCTAGTACAACTAAGGCTTACTCCAGAAGTCGGGATAGACGAGAGCAATAGAGAAACAACAAAATAATGATTATCCAAAACATGGCGTATGACCAACATATCCAGAAATAGGAGACTGAGAAGTCAAACATCGTAAACCCTAAGACCAAACTAACCAACGGTAGACTTGAATTTCTTCGAAAACCAGATCCCTTCTCATATTACAACATCAACTCTGTCAGACGAACCCTAATTCCAGGGTAGTGGTCTATTTACTGCTCACCACAAAGGGAAAATGGGAAAGCACTGACCTACAATGCAACTGGAAGTAAACCCACAGATGACATTTCTAAAGTCCTGCCACCAACCCACTCAAACATAGGAAACCAAGCTATGTTTCTCAATTTCTATTCCAACTTCCTGTTAATTAGACAAACAATGCCAAAACTTGAATTTGGATATTTTTTACCATAAACACTAAAGGACTTTTGGAGTGTATACTAAGAAAAAGAATTTTGATATTATCTATTGTGGCTGCTAAGTAAAGGTCTCTTAATGTATACTAAGATGCTAACTTTTAAAAAATAACTTACACAAAAAGACAACTCATGGTTTCGCTGCTACTTGTCATTGCTAGCTGCATTGAGAAAAATTCATAACTGCTGCTACTAACTTTCATCTATTTTGCTGCTCCAAGACTATATGAACAGTTCTACCAGTTTGGTACTCTCAGTGCAGACCAATGCTACAAATGTACTATTAACTTTGAGTAACTTTAAAAGCATCTAGATTCACAAACAACCAAAATGGTCATATAGTATGACAGCTATCCAAAATTTGGTCCTGTTTAACTTATAGCTGATGCAAATCACAATAGAAGAAACTGTCACCTCACTACATAGGTCTGTAGCATCATTAGAAGGCCACAATTTGATCCATACAAGAGCGCATCACTGCATAGAAATGATAGGTAAAATAGAAGAAAAATAGGTGAAGCTTACATGTGTTAGAGTTTGAGCCAAGAGCAGTAGGAGGCATATAGAAGACATCAGATTCCTGCAAGGTATAAATGATACTGCTGGCCGGTCAAGGAGATTTCTGTCAATTAGACATCAGTACTCTCTCTCTCTCTCTCTCTCTGGAACAATACATTCAATTTTAGTTAATTTGCTTGTAATTGCACAATGACATTCGGTTTCAGAAATTGTCTTTACTTAACAGGAAGAGGCGATGAGGCTAATTTTAACAAAACAACACAGGCATAATTCTTCAATA